ATCTGATTTTACGGTATACTTCCCATTTAAAGGATACATTTACTTATTCGTCTGATGTGTTTTGTATGTCTTTACGCTAGGGGTCATCCCAAAAGCTCTTTGTTTTCCCTGAACCGAACATCGTTCATTTCGTACTCCGACCCCTCCCCTTCCTCTGAAATGAACGTAGCTTGCTAGGCTGGACGACAAAAATCGCATGCATGTACATGTATAATGTACAGTGTCGATCGACTTGTGATTTTGGCTCCACCGCCTCCCCCCAAACGAGTGATGTTCGTTTCAGGGACGACAAACAACTTCTGCGATGCCCCCTTAAAAACTTGGTGTGGAATCTAGCAAGGAGACTATAATGTGAGCTCAGATAAGGTGATGTGTAGATGGCTGCAGTGGAGTTTGCAAATCCTTAAAACACATCTATGACTGCGTTTGTCATGAGTATGTCGCACAGTGATCGACAGCCTTCTCATGATGAGAATCTAGCAGCTGTTCACAAAGACGTCTGTATGTATAACACTTCGCTGTAGGTATGGGCAATGCTGTAGTTCCCAGTGTAGCTACATGCTTGCCTCAAATACTACTCTAGTAGCCTTTCTTTCCACTTTTTGTTGTTGGTTTTCTTTTGTATTTTTGCCATGGCTGGGTATCGCACTCGTCTCTGGCGTTGCTCCCCACATCATCAATGCGTGCACATGCTACGAGATTGAGTTCAATGAATAAATGAAAGCAAACCTACAAACTTGCCAAATTAGTTTGGTTATCGTTCACCAGGCTATGAGTTGTGCATGTCGCAACAACTTGTTTTGATGCAATTTCCAAGATCCCCACCCCACCATTCGTGGGGGCATATGTCAAAGACACCAGAAATCCAACAACGACGCTCTTATCTTTAGGTTGGGATGCGGCATTCGTAGTGTTTCAGACTGGGTGGTTTCGGATTCCACGTCCTTTGGCTGGCGAGTCGCGACTGTATACTATAAGTTCATCATATCCGTATTTTTCAACATGATCTGTCTGTGTCTCTTTGTTGTCTTTTCCACCACGCTTGTCTGCATCTGCTATGCCGTGGCAAATCGCCCGCCAATACACTTTATCCTGACTATGCTCTTCAACTGACTGCAGTATGGGTAAGTCATCTCGACAACAATGACCAATGAATTGTGAGCTTGTGGATTATGTTTTCTTTAGACACAAATGTGGATACTTTTGGTATATTTATAAGAAGAAAAAGAGGACCAAAGACCAATTTGGTATATGCATTATATTTTCTGTATGCACTTGTTCGTGCAGCCCGACGGTTTCCAGAGATGGAAAAGCAGCGACGCATCTCGGAAACGCGCGAAGAGTACGAAAGAGTGGAGCGCTATGGCAGTGTGGGTGCTGGTGACGCAAGCAGTTCGTCAGTCAGCTCACGCAGTCATCTCACTGAAAAAGAGCAGCTTCTAGCAAGCACAGCGTTCAACACGCAAGCGGGGGAAGAGCGCTACTCTGCAATACCCGAGGGAGCTGCGGCCGCCTACTCCACAATACCAAAGGAAAGCAACGACTACTCGTCAGCACCGGCGCAAGGTGATGCGTATACATCGGTCACACAAGGCAAGAAGCACTCCACCACTGGTCAATCTACCTACGAAGCTCTTGACCAAAGCACCCGCACTGCCAATAGCAGTGCTACTGCTGGTGGTGGTGCTAGCGCCACTGCTTCTCACTATGCACCATTGGACCAGAGCACTCGAACAGAGTCGCACTACATGTCTAGTACAAGTGGACGCTACGATAGCGTGCACAACAGAGAGCTGGAGTACTCTTCTCTGTCACATGCGACGCGAGAAGCTCCCCAGTCTTATCAGAAAGTGTTCCGAGCAGCCGGAGAAGGTGGCAGTACGGAAGGAGATTACGATACTACGTTAATGAAAGCTGAGGATGATACGACATTGTACGACTCTACCCTACGCACTGTGGATGAGTCAGGTGGCGGAGGGTACTATGACTCAACTCTATTCAAGGCTGGCGGTGACGAAAAACCTTGAAGACACGTATGACTCAACACCGAGTAACGTATAATGAGACCATTGACTACCCACCAATTAGGCTTGATGAATTCAATTGGTACGAGTACAATAGCTAGTTTATAGGTTAAGCTCTACTGCTTTGCATGAAGTATCATAGGGAGCTATAAAGCAAGAAGTAAATTAGAATTATTGATGCCGCATTGCTGCGATAATGTTCATTGATTTCATCTTCGGCCGCTTACAGAATTAGAATAATGATATTCTTATGGTAACAGCTAGCTATCGAAACTTACTCAGCAGCACATTTATACTCATTTTATTTAAAACCTCAATTTAAAATAGATCTATTCTATAGGAACTAGATGTACATGTACACGAGTGATGTGCTTGTTTTAATCAATGTTTTTATTACGTTGGTTGCTCCAACGAGTCTAAGTTCGTTTTTATTACGTCCGTGGAAAGGTAAACTTATCATTTAACTGTTATCTCTCCATCACCTGCCAGAAGCTATGCAGCAAGCGTGACTAGAAAAGATAAATCATGTACAATATGAATGACATGATCAGTACTGGTACATACCAACGTGTCTTTCTGGTGAATACAAGATACAGTAGCAATGAAGAACTGTACATGACACATTGTGCACTGGGGTAGTTCTGAGAATTAAAAAAAAAGAAGAAGGTAAAGTTAGCCAGAACAAGGTAGCATCACATGTAGCATCACATGTAGCATCACATGTAGCATCACATGTAGCATCACATGTAGCATCACATGTAGCATCACATGTAGCATCACATGTAGCATCACATGTAGCATCACATGTAGCATCACATGTGCTTTGAGAATATCTGGCTTGTTTTTAAAACAGATACAGTGAAAGAGTCTGCAGGGCCAACACAACAACAAAAATGAGCTGTGCATGCCAGATGGCCGTACAACGACTTCAGACTTCGTAACTATTACCGGTACACACCGTATTGGCAGATCACTAGCCTGTGGAAATACGCCATCAGCAAGCGACTGTAGAATGCCACTTGCGAGTTGCGCTGAAAACTGACTGCCCTTACAGGAATTTACATGGTACTCCTGAGTAGCTCAACACTCACTCCCTGTCACTGTCCTTACAGGCATAGAGCCTATAGGTTGGTTTGATGTGCAGCTGCAGCACCACCCATAGGTCCCCACTGGTGCTGGGGGATACGCTAGATAATGGGTCTGGGCAAGCATCGACCATGCTCGAACTGCCGGCTCCTATCGGAAACATGTAGACTGGCAGTGATGTGCCACCAAGACTGGCTCCTTAGCCGAATGACTGGTGTAGGCACTCTTGTCGAGAGGAATCAGGGTACACCGAGTCGAGGCGTTTGAATTGAAAGTTTTTGGCACTGGCACCCGTACTATCAGCCAGGCCCTGCAGCTTGCCTCCATCCGTTCCTTGTTGGCCTGGTAGAGATGCTGAAACAGCAGGCCCACTGTCCGCCGTTGCTACTCCACCTGGCATCTATGCTGTTTTGTGCACAGGGTTGAGTTTGTACTGCTCATAGTCTGCACGATTGAAGAACGTCAACTCTGTCTCATTCACTGCAACAGCCAAAAACACACGCACGCACGCGCACTCACACACACGCGCATGCACACACACACACACACACACACACACACACACACACAATGAATGATGTGGAGGTCAATGACATAACGATAAATTGGCTACCTGTATATTGGTACACGGTCACTTCAGTCCTTTACACATAGCCATCACATGTGATACTCCATGACGACTCCGCATGGCATGCACAGGATGAGACTGCATTGTAGCACAGTCATCCTACACAGTTTTTACGTACATGGCATGCTACTCCATTTCCTGAGTGAACGCATATTTGTTGCAAGTGGCTTGTACGGGGATATTCACGAGAGTTTTTGTACTGTATGTGAATGCAGCATATATGCAAAGTCTAACGACCGATCATGTAGGATCCTAGAAAACGGTAGTACAGCATGTAACATCCAGGTGCACGAGTACTCTATATACTGGAGTTTCACTGTAAAAGAATCAGCAGTGGTTTGGGTGACAGGTTACACTACGCCATAGAGGAGAAAAAGAGAGAAAGACACCAATGGGTGGATAGAGCGAAAACCACCCGGTGCAATTCGCACAGGAGACACCTGTGACTTTACCCTGAAGAACATGCACATTGATACAGATTGGACACAAAGGCTTCGGGTGGAAATCATACATGAAGTGACCGGCGAACACAGTGTTCATTATTATACTACCAGGGCCCGAACACAGGCATACATTTGAAATTCAAGTATATTTCGGGACACAAAAAACAAGATTTGAGGACTTTTCAAGGATATTTTCAAGCGACCAATCGCCTGGCGGAGTGCAAGCGAGGCCGATCCAGCCGAATTCACAGCGAAGAGGTCCAGTACTTTTGCGTGTCTTCCACGTACTTGATCACAGAGTGCATGCACGCAGTGTAGACTCTACCACTGCCAGCACCGGTGACACACTTGGAGTGTACACTAGTGCACTGCTACACTGACCATGCTGACTATGCATCACAGGGTACAGTGAAAATCGTAATGCCTGAAAAACTTAATTTCAAGGATTTTTCAGGACAAACCATGCATTTTCACCAGATTTAGGGTTTTTCAGTGTAATCTTAACAGGGAATTTTTTTAAAGTATATTTAGGAGCCGCATCTGACGCCTGATCATGGGGTGGTGGCGTCCCACGGAAGCGGAAAGGTGGTTCTTGACCAGGGAGTTGTACGACTCCTTGTTCTTGACCTGCCCGGTACGCGAACCCGTCGAATTTTTTAATTTTTTTATTATATTTTAGGGTTTCCCAGGGCTGTACTGACATTTTCATCAACGTAGAAGATGAACAAAAGAGTACGCAGGCCTCCACAAGCTGATCTAGCATGTGAACACTTACCCAGTCCAAACTGGTCAAGCACGGCATCCTCGGGTAGTATCCAGTCATCATTGTCCAGGTTGATTACAGGATTGCTCGTCTTTAGTTGAACGACACGCACAGATATACACACACATACACGCACACACAGACACACGGACAAACACAGGATAGAAGGGATGAGAAGTGGAAACGGAACCGAGCACATAGTTTGGAGGTGATCAACGTAATTATCGTCTCCATCGGTAACTTATGACAAAATCGTGATTGGCAACTCAATCGTGTCACGCACTGCCCTCATGGCTACGGTACGGAGATAAAATAAAATAAAAAGATAAAAAATCCAGGATATGCAACTCATTCCTACCTTGAACATATGTGGCTTGTGCAAAATCTTCACGCAATCTAAGACAGAAAGACAACAAACAGAGAGATGATTACTACTGGAGTGAAGAGCATGATTCTGAACTCCCCCTTATCCAAGTTGGCAATAGCTTCATTCATACGCGTTTACACATGCCACCTCCAATCAACTCACAATGCTCTGTTGTCAGTGTACATATCAACATGGGCAACACAGAAGCGTTCAGCAAGACTAATAATCAGATGTGTGTGTGTGTGTGTGTGTGCGCGCGCGCGCGCGCGCGCGCGTGTGTGTATGACTGTGTGTGGCAGGGTTCGTGATAGCAGCTGCCAAATCAAAGCACGCACACACACGCACACACATACACACACACACACGCGCATGTGCGCCTTACACTTCACACTCCAATTGTGATACAAGTGGCATGCACTGCACTGCACATATAACGCTAGGTACTGGAAACGCCCCACAAACAAGACTTACACGTACACACATACGGGTAAGACTGTTACCAAATAACTAAAGAAAACATACGATGCAAGGCCTGTAAACAAAACATATAATTATTATAATCAGGCTGGTTGCAGTGGTGGAGCTGTGGTGCACTTACTGAAATCGTGCTTCAGGAACGTCTTCGGGATTAATTTGGATGAAGCCATTTCTAGAGCAAGCGAAGAGGATAAGCAAACAGTTTCCCGTCATCATATGTGCCATTGAACTGTGCCACAGAACGCTTGAAGTATATGTAGATACCCAACACAAGTAATGAAATGAGTGCTTCTGTGCAGCCAGCTGTCTGTCATCATCTGGAAGTTAAATTTCTAATTTTCACGTTTCAATAAAAAATGAGCCGAATTTTACGTATCCTTTTATTATTATTAATAGCCAAATTAGTTTTTTCATGAAAAATAATTGGTAGTAGAGAGGTCTGCCACTCGTTGATGAGCACAAGATGAAGTGAAAAAGCAATTTGCTTTTTGCTATGCCAGTTCGAAAAACTAAAACAGATCCGGTCACAGAGTCATTGCGCCGGTTGCACACTTCGTACATCCCCTCAGACTCCTTTCTCCATGGATTATCGTGCTGTATTTGCAACAAAATCACTGTACTATCACGGGTATTAAAGTTAGTTCACAGCACAATAGCCGTGATCCAGGTGATGACAAAGATCACCATGCATTTTACGGTCCAAAGACATTTGAGTGAGAGTTTTGTAAATTAAACAAGACTTCGTACAGGACATTGCACATCTGCGGCATAAGATCTATTCGTGACAAACATTGTGCTTGCCAGCTGAATTAAACTAACTTTACAGGATTTCACAGGTTGGCCATATGACATAATGCTAGAGTAATCAATTTTTGTGACCTAACTACAGTAGTGGTGTGTATAGCAAGGCGATCTTCAAACTCTGTCCCTATTCAACCCGATACCAAGAGTTTACGCACTCTTGCCGATACTTGAAAATATTACAGTTTCCAGGGACAATGGGCGCTTTCGATTACACGCATTTCGGTCAATTCTAGAATTAGTTATTGTTGATGCACAGTTCGATTACACAAAAAGTGACAAATTCCGTTGTTAGAATTGATTTTATCCAATTCCGTCGAATCCATCAATTCTGAAGAGAAGGCGGAATTTCTCTAATTCTGGCGCCAGAATTGCACTGTCGGTGTGTTACCGGTTTGGTCATGACACTCAAGCGCGCGAAGAGCCTGCCTGGCCGGCGTGTGCGCGATGCTAGGTCCACGTGCGCGCGATCGATCGCGAGGGTGTACGTGATCTCTTTTTGCGATTCATCAATTTCGTTTGTGACATGACATGAATAAAATGCGTTGTGAATTCCAGTCGTTCGTTTACAAGGCCGGAATACGCTCATTCTGGTCATTCCAGAATTTTAAAAAACCAGTTCCAGAATTGTGTAAACGTGTAATCGAAAGCGCCCAATGGATTTCAAGGTTAGTAGTTGAACGTGAAATGCAGGCGTTGAGTGTCAACACGTCTGTCAGCCATTGTAACTTGCAAATGTTTTTTTTTCGCGGTTTCAATCAAAATGCATGATAGTGAATGAAAAACGTAAAATGTTTGGCACCTACAGTCCATTCATAAAAAAATGGGTCCTGGCTCTGGCGAGCTCCCGTATTTGGCGATTTTTCGTGATTTCATCGTACACAGTGCGGTGCTGCGAACTTTGAAATTTGAAAAAGGGTCCAAAAAGGGTGCCTGAACTGGGGTTCGAACCGCAGAATGCACTGTTGCAGGCGGGGTCAAACGGCCTGGATTTTGATGGTTTTTCCCAATTCAGTGCTTTTGGGGCAAAACCTGGCCGAAATCCTATTCTTGCTATGGCTTGCTTTTTGGACAAAAAAACTTCAGAAACATAATTGGAAGAGGATTCCATATGGGATTGCAGAAAAAAATTCTAAAAAAACTCAACGTTTGACCCATTTATGGCCAAAAGCTAGAAGTTCATTTTTTTCTGAATGGACTGTAGTACCTATGAAATCAGGGGATGGCCCACGCCTGGTAAAAAATCAACGAGGAGCTAAATACATTTACGTATCGATAATAATACTACACGGCATGGCAAGTTTATGAGTCAGTGCTGCGAAATGGATGCCTCAGCCGCAACTACAAGAGCAAAAGATGTGACAGGGGCGTGAGCAGAGTGGAGAGAGCGACTTCCACGCACACACATTACAACTTAACACAATGTAACTGGCAAATGTAACATTTTCCAAAGAAGCCGCCAGAAGCGTCATGCAAGACTCGGCGGAAACATGATGTTCCCGCAAAAAATGACTTACTGAAGAAGGTTCACTCACCTTTTCGTAGGCGATCAATGAAAGCCTCTGTACTGACTTTGGGACAAACATCCTTCAATACCAATGTACGCGAGGTACGATATTCGAATGATCGGATTACGCGCACAGGTAGCACCCAATGTGCCTCACCGCCACCTCCACACCCGCATGCCGTGAATTGAGGTTTAAAAGCCTCAGCCTGTGCACGTACATTAGTCTCAGAACTCGCCATTCTCTTACAATTGAGGGAGATGATCAGATTTTGGCAACGATCAAGCTCCTTCTCTGACTTTGCAAAAGTTAGTTTATTTCTCTATTTCAAACAAGAGCGAGCACTTTTTATGATCGGGAAAGCCCCCGCGCGTGACGTCATTACGGTCGATCAACATCTTCAGCTGTATCTGTACAAGCAAGAGTACATGAAAACCAGAGTGTGCAGCTTGCAGTTGGGGCCTTCTCTGCTGCATGCCAGTATGGGTGTCTGTCACGGCGAAATTCCGTGATTACATCATTTTGGTGCAGATCTAAGGCGGGAAATGGCGTAGTGCGTACAACTGAGCTGCAGTTGTGCAGAAAGAGACCTGCTTGAATCCTGCTTGTACGCACTACATCACTAAAATGATGTAATCAAGGAATTTCGCCGTGACAGCAACCCATCCGAGCTGCACACCAGGGAGTAGTACAATACTCAATACTCACAATAGTATTGTCCTGCTGCACACTCTGGTTTTCATGTACCGGTACTCTTGGTACAAGTCATGTAGACCTACAAAGTCAATAGGCTACATACAGTCATGTACCATTGTACAGTGCATTTCAAAACTATAGACGCGTAGGGTTTTTGAAATATTTCAAATTTGGCTGGAACTTTTTGAGAATAGTTTTCGGAATATTGCTCAGGATCGCTCCACAATTACTCACGTTTCTAAAGGATTGGATAACAGAAGCCCAATTTGGAAAAATTTATGCACAAAGTGATCACAGATTTTATGTGGTATAGATGCTGGCATAACGGTTTTTGCCTAGGTACGCGTCTATAGTTTTGAAATGGACTGTAGGTCTACCTCAACACTTGAACCTGTGAACTGTTCCTCGGACAGAGAGACAGCGAGCTGACATGAGAGACGGAGACAGCGACAGAGACTTGAAATACACAACATGCACTTGCCCGAGGTTCAAGAGTTCAGGCCCCACTTCGAAGAGGTCACAGTCTCAACCAGAATGCTGTGCTTTTCATTTCTTTACCTTGTCGAAGGCTTTCGACATGTCGACAAATACCACTCCGGTGTGCTGCCCGGCGGCTTGTGCGTCATTGATATTCTCTACAGCTAGCGCTAAGGCATCTGCTGTGGAATGCTGGTGTCTGTAACCAAACTGACTACGAGTAGTAGGCAAGAAAGTTGTTCGTGTTGAGGTACTGCAGAAGCTGCTTATGAACACTGATTACGTTCAAGCACTTTCGACACTATCGGCAATAGGGAGACTGGTTGGTAATTCTTGGGTTGGCTGGGGTCACCAGCCTTGAACAGAGGCCGTATGTCACCCACCTTCATTGCCGCAGGAAACTGTCCTTCTCTCAATGACTTTTAAAACAGTAGCGTGAGTGACGGTGCCAGGATGTCAGCATGCATCTGGAGACTGAGACTTGCTGGAATATCATCACTCCCACCATTACACTGCGGCGCTCTTTAGCCGACTAGACCCTCCTTCACGCAACCATCACCACTGCGAGGACACTTCCGTAGACGATATTAAAGTAATTCCTCCAGACAGCTGCATCAGTGAAGGTAGATATTGAATGAATAAAAATATAGACCAAACTGCTATTATATGGGGTTTGATACAAAACTAGCATAGCTGAGTTGATAACGCGGGAAAAGGAAAGTGTGAAGTACTGTTGACGCATTGGACATGCATGCAGCGTGGGAAATTCGGCGCGGAAA